AAGAGGTGTTCTCCAGGCTCCAGGAGGCTATGTGTCCTTCCAGACGCAGCTGAGCTTTCCGGTCAGCAACAAGCATGGCAAATGTCCTTTCGGGGCCCTGGGTTCAGCTCCTGCCTGTGTGGCAGCTCCCCGCCCTGTAGTGCTGAGCTCTGCCCTACAGAGAGGGGCCACAGCTCATCATGAAGTCTGTCCAGCTTTTTTCTTCAGGCACTGCTGACTTACTCCCCACCTCCTCTCAGAGAGCCTCCACCCCTGCACTCAACCCTTTCTCTCGCTGGTCCCTTTCTGCCTTTACCACCCCTTTCTTTCCAGTGCGGCCATCTCTTCCCCTGGTCTTTCCAGCCTGTTCCTCTTCTCCACCCTCTCCATCTCCCTTTAACTGTCCTCTCATTGCCTCCCCATTCCTTGGTCCCACCACACCTTCCTCACCCCTGCTGTGCCTGCCCCTCCTCTCTCTTCCTCATCTCCTTTTCCCCCTTCCCTCCTGCATCTCCCCCTCCTTCCCCCAAGCCTGCCTGGCAGAGCCTCCTCCAGGAATGCAGGCTGATTAGCATTGCGAACACACAGAGGCCTCCTCAGCCTGACATAAATCTTCATTTGTCAGTCATGAATATTTCACACCTGCCTCGGGAGGGATTTATTCAGCATGGAAGAGTGGGGAGGGGGAGAGGGGAATGTGGCACCGCAGCATAAGCTGGGGCAGCACCGGCAGGGATGGGGAAGAGCTCTGCCTCACAGGAACAGCATGCCTAGGGCCTCACCTTCACTTTTCTGGGTGCAGGAACCCAGCCCAGGCTCCCCCCGACCCCGAGCCTGTTCCTAGGAAAAGAGGGCAGGTCAGCACCCAACCTCATTCCTCACCCTCCACGCTTTCCAGTGAGGTGAACTAAACCCCTGTTTTCCCTGCCAAGAGTCACCAACCAAGAAATAAAGTGTGAAAGGGGCTGGCCCTGCTTCTGCCCCATGGATCCACTTCGCCCTGGGAGAAGGCAGGGGTGAAGGACTCTTGCCAAAGCCAAGCCATAGAGGGCTTAGAAACTTCAGGCAGTCTCTCCACGCTTTTTCCCACCACAGGGGCCTTAAAGGTTTCATCATGCCTTACCCTCTGCCAGGGCCACCCACAGGAGAGGAGGGGTAGGACAGACCTAATCCAGAGCTGCCTGCAATCAGTGAGAGGAAGGTGGTGGGAGGTCTTCTAGTGATTGCAACCAGCTCCACATCAAGCTTTCACGGTGTTAGAGGTTTCCCTGCAGCTGAAGCACTCCTTGTTCCCCCAAGAATAGCCTTGCTTGTATATTTGGGGAAAAAGCAACCAGGGCATGGGGATGGTAGTGACCATTTCTCTTATGAGATCTATCTTGATGGGCCTCACTTCTATTTCTAAATAATTAGGAGAAATGATGACCACTAGAAAGAGCAGGTCTTTGGTACATAACACATCCCCTTTCACGCACACGACCCTGAAAAGCAGCTGAGAGACCACATTTGGGGCAAGGGGAGGGGGACACTGGAAAGAAGAAGGAATGTTTTTTATGGGGCTGATTGGGTTGGGTTCTCTTTGGGGTGTGTTCCCTCCTAAACTGGTAGGAGTCTCTCATAAAATCACATCAGGGATGAATGAAAGGAGCAGGGAAAACGGGGACAAAGACAGGAGAGACTTTGGGGGAGGAGGTTAAATTCCAACAAACTGGCACATACACAACAGGTGTTTGCTCAGAAAAATACAGTAAAATCGTCATGCAAATAGAACGTTAAATCTGCTTTCCTCCGACAGGGCTGGCGTCGCTTTGCGAGCCCTTGTCCCTGGGGAGGGAGCAGGACAAGGAAGAAGGGAGGAGGAAGGAAGGTGGGACATTTTGTTCCCTTTCCTTGCCCTCTTCCTCCCACAGAACAGTCCATCTTGTGCAAACTTCACCCACTGGTTTGGAGTGGGGGGGGCTACAGCTGGGAGAGAAATGGCTTGTCCCTCCTACCCAGCCTTAACCCCATCACAGGCAAAAGAAGGGCCTGATGATAGCTGTATCCCTGACCTTTCTTTTCTGCCTTGTTGGGGTGATGGGGGGAGGGAGCAGAAACCTTCACAGGTTAACGCTGCCCCCAAAAGTATAGACTGAGCGGAACTGATTACAAGACCATACAGCAAAGAAGCACAGGGAGGGAAGAGGTGGGGAGAGGAACAGGACTCCATCCCCCTGTGCCTGTCATCCCCCTTTTCCTGCCCAGTTCTGTGCCCCAGCCATTAGTCTTTCCCGCTTGGATGGTTGCCACACTGGAAGACCACTGGGCCTGCTCCATGTGGTAGCTGGAGAGGTCTTTGCTGTACCTAAGCATCTCTCACAGTATCTGCCTGTCTTGATTTGCTGCATTGTCCCAACATGGAGGGACACCTGGCAGCAGTGATGTGACTTCCCTTCATCCTCCTGCACATACACACACGCGCACACACACGTGTGCACACACACCCCTTCCTCTGGGTTGGACTGGCTCTTACAGTGTAGACTCAGTCCCATGAATACCTCTGGACTCAAGGCAAAATGACTGTGGGGAAGCAGGCTGACAGTGAAGGAGGCTGAGGCAATGGGGTCGGGACCTGGCTTAGAATTGTTACCATCAGCATCCCTACAAGGAAGGAACCCCACAGATCACAGGTTTAGACGTTGGGGATCCCCGCTCTGGTTTTCACACACCAGGCCTTGCCTACTTGCTGCTCCTCACTTACAGAAGACGAAGTCATGTCACCTGTGGCATAGACACCAGCTCTCACAGCTGGCAGTGCTACTACCTGACACATAACAGGGAGGTTCTCTGCAGGCAGCATGTAAATCCCTCCCAGAGAAGCTCCTACACCCCCATCCTTCTCCCAGAGCTCCCCCAAAACACTGGGGCTTCTGAGGAGTGCCTCAAAAAGGAAATAGCTACTTAGGAAAGGCCAGCACAACACAGGTCCTCACCCTCATCCTCATGATAGAGGTGAACGATTGTCAAGAATTGGGGTGTGCAGCTCATGGAGAGGAGGCCCACTGTGCTGCATAAAGATGCACTCAGCAGACAGCACCCCTGCCTGACAAGAAAACTTTGGGGGAGATGGTGCCAAGATTGTGCTTTGCTGGGCTGCTTAGAAGTGGAGAGGGCAGTAGGCTCATTTCCAACTCTGTGGCAGATCTTCCATCTAAGGGACAGAGGTTGGGACCTAGCAAGTGAAACCAGGTTTTTTCCAAGACATTAAAGGATCCCTAAGAAAAATTTGTCACATCTAACTGTGAGAAGGTGGAGGATTTAGGAGGTGGTAAGTTGCTCTGACTCTCATGAGGGCCTCTAAGTATTCGAAGGAGCACTGCCATCCAGAGGCTGGTATCCTCTTCTATCTCAACACACAGAGTGTGGCTGCACACACAAAGGGACCTTCTCCTGGAGCCATCCCTCTTGGGCTTCTTCCAGACCCCATTCTCACATCCCTTTTGTTTCGTGTGCTCCTGCCTTCACCCTAGGCTGTCCCCTATCCACATCAGAGTGTCCAGGGCCTATTCAAGAGGAAGCCACTTGGTGGCTTTTCTGTCAATCCAGTGAGGTGAGCAACTGAAATCCTATTCTTCACATCCACCTGCAAGTGAGGAGGATGGGTAACGCTCTTCTCACGCACACCCACCCACCCACCCTCCATGGTACGAGTCAGTTGAGAAGAGCTGCAAAAGCTTCATGTAGAACTTGTTCTGCTCACCTCCTCTCCAGGACCCTTCCTCATAGCAAGGGAGGCATGAACAGAGAATACCAAACCTACTGCACAAGGGCAGCCTGAGCATAGATGTGTATGGTGGAGAGGACCTCCGACCTGTGACACTTGTGCAGAGATGGGAACTCTTTACACCTGTGAGAGACCGGACCTTCCTGCCTTTTCCTCCACCACTCCTTGAGGACCTGGCTTGCCATGCCAAAGAGCACATTCATACGCCCCCACAAATTGGCAGAAAATTGGCTCTGAGCAGGCCTGGACAATGCCCATCACTCCAGAATTGCTGGTGTTCATCAGCAACGATATGGCAGGAGAAGGGAAGGAGGGCACAGAGCCTGCTGTGTGGCAGGTCCTACCTCCCTTGGTCCTTTGCACCTTCTTTCCTTCCTCCAAGGAGGATGGAGGTTCGTGAAGTATATAGACAGAAAGTGTAAGCCTAGGGAGCCCTAACAGAGAAGGGTAGGGAAGAGGAAAAGGAAAAGAAGCGAGAGAACTTCTTTCAACAAATCCCACTTATCTTGGAAGGGGACCAGAGAGAGAGAAAAACCTCCACTGCCAAAGGAAATGGAGGAAAAAATAGTGATGGAAGATTTGGAAAAGTAGGTGTATCAGGTGGGCAGAGAAACTTTCTAAACCAAAATCCTCCCCTCCCACCCAAAAAAAAATCAGTCCTCAACAGGAACAGAAAGAGCAATACTTCACAGCTGAGTTTCATGCCCAGTGAGTGTCCATCCCTGCCCTTCCCCTGCCACCGCTGCCACCCCCTCCCGGGCCATTCCCACCCACCCGCACTCCAGTGTTGTTACCACAGTGTCAGAGCAGGACGCTCCTCCCAACCATCTGCGGGCAGAACAATGGTCCCCGTAACACAGTAGAGAAAATTCGGCGTATGTGTGTGTGTCTCTGTGTGTCTGTATGTGTCTGTGTGTGTGAGAGTTTTCTGTTGTTGTTGTAAACTTTAAGAAATGATTTTGTCAGTTTTGTATTTGTCGGGAGTATTTTGTTGTTGGTTTATTTTTCACAGTCAAGTGGCATATTTTTTTTTCTGGTCATCTGGGGGGTCTTGTTTTGTATTGTTTCCTTGGAAAGAGCGAGGGAGAGTCACAGCTTCTGCTGAGCAGAGACTCCTTTCCAGTAATCCAGGATGTCATGCAGATCCTCATCCTTGGCAAACTGAACTTTCTTGCGCAGGGCATGCCCAGCTGCCATGTAAACCTCCTCCCTGTGGTGCTTCTTGTAAGGCCGGAATCGCTCCCAGATCTTGTGGGTGCTCTCTGATGAGTACTCAGGGCTGGAGGAGTAGCCCGAGAAGTAGTGTCTGGGGGAGAGCTGGGAGTACGTAGAGTCTCGCTTGGACCGGGAGAGTGGCTTGAGGAATGACACCCGCTGGCTCAAGGTGTCAGCACTTTCCTCATAGTACAGGGCCGGGAAGGAGTGACGGTGCTCACTGCAATGGTAAGAAGGCTTGACCTCCAAGTGGTGGATGGCGCCCGGGGACACCAAGGGAAGACGATCCAAAGGGCTGTTGAGTGGGCTGCCCTTCTCAATGTATTTGGAGTCAGACTTGCTGAGTGGTGGGTGGTCAGGCACATCCAAGCTGAAGACCTTGGCGCTCTTGATGGAGCCACTAGAGGAGACACTGCAGGTCTTTCTGGCCACGGCAGCATCAGCACTGAGCTGGCGCTGCAAAGGGTGGTGGGAGCTTTCCTTGTAGGGTGGGGAAAGAAAGCTGGGCCGCTCTAGCCCACCCGAGGAACTGGCTGGGATGGACTGGCACTCAAAGGCCATGTCTGAGTCAACGCCAGTCCCACCACCCAGGAAGGAGGCTGTGTCCAGCTTGAGGGCATCAATGCAGTTGTTGATGATCTGGTTGACCTTGTCTACCTCCTTGGCTATAGTAGAGATCTCAGCAGCTGAGCCTTGCCCATTGTCAAGCTCCCTCAGGTCCTCATCCCTCTGCGTTCGTTCCAGCCCATCCCCACCACCAGTCCGCACTTCAATGTAGTTACCTTTCGTAGTGACTTTAGGAGTCTCCATCCCAGCCTCCATTGACTTTGACGGGGGCAACTTCTCCCCAATCATGGAAGGGATGGAGGACATCCGTGAGACAGGGATGACTGGTGGCTCACCCAGCTTCTGGGAAGGATGGACCATGGTACTGGTGTCAATATCCGATCCATAACGCATTTCCAGGATGGTCTTTTTGACATTGAGGGATTTCTGTTTCTCCTCCTGCATCCTCCGCTTCCGCAGGCAGTAGTACACCACCCCCAGGACAATGACCATCCCAAAGAGGCAACCCAGGGTGGTCATGATATAGTGTGTGGTGGTGGAAGTACTGGAAATAGGGTCCTCCCTGCCTTTGCTCCGGGTTGCGAAGGTCAGGCAAGTGTGGTTGTAGCGCCTGTTGTTGCGGATGGAGGCCACACAGAAAGTATAATCAGTGTGGGCCTTCAACTTGTTGACAGTGACATATTCCTTCTTGCTTTTCAATGTTGCTATATCAGAAACGTAGCTGTTGTTGTACTGGACCAGCACATACATCTTACTGTAGGGCATGGGGATAGTTACCATCAGGATGGCTGAGGTGATGGTGACATCATGGAGCTTGATGCTGGGACTGAAGGAGGAGTCAGTGGTGGAGGAGGCTGGAGGCTTGACTGAGAGGAAGTCCCCAGGGCTGATGGCTGAGCCCTCATCCAGGTCTCGTTGGGAGTCAGGGGTATAAGGGGTGGGGTTGACCCTGGAGAGGGAGGGGATGGTGCCACCTCTGCACATGGACTGGAAGATGGTGATGGCATTGCGGTTGTGGTGGGGCCGAGGTACCAGGAGTGGGTACCCGGCAAACTCCCGAGGAGTCTCACACTGGAGCCGGTCATAGTTCTTGGTGACATTGTTGAAGAGTGCCAGCCAGTTAAGAAAGCTGTAGAGGCTACAGTCGCAGTTGAAGGGGTTGCCAGCCAGCTCACACACCATCAGATTGCTCAAGCTGGTGAAAGTGTTCCCCTCCAGGCGGCTGAGGCGGTTAGATGACAGGTCAATGCTAATCAAGCTGGGGCACTCAGAGAAGGCAGTAGGGGTGACCAGCTCAATTAGGTTGTGCTGCACAAAGAGGAACTGGAGACGGGCCATGCCCCGCAACATGCCCTCTGTCAGGTTGGTGAGTTTGTTGTAGCCCAGCTGTAAGACCTGGAGGTTTGACTGGCCCATAAAAGCCCCATCCTCGATATAGGAGATCTCATTCTTGGTCAGGTTCAAATCAGTCAGGTTGCCGAAGCGGTTGAGGGAGGAGTACAGCACCACTTTGAGCTTATTCTCGTTCAGACGCAAGTCATGCACCGTGCTGTTGATGTGCTGGGGGATGGTCTCATAAGGGGGCTGGTTCTGGCTGCAGATGGCCAGCCACACATAACCTTTGTCCCCCTCAATGAGCCAACAGTCACCTTGCACGGTGCCAGGGGAAAACAAGCAGAGCAGGGCAGCTGCCCACAACCCCAGGCACATCATGGTCTGCAGTGGTGCCCTCAGCAGATGCCCCCTCATCAACAAAAAACAACCCCAAATCTCAGGACCACAGCAAAAGGAAACTAAAGGGCAGAGGGAAGAGAAAGGGGCAGTAACTGGGGTTTAGCAATGGAAAGGCATGAGCACCCCAGTCCTATTTGGTGTCATCACCATTATTTCTTCTTGCCCTCTGGGCCAAGCCAGGAGCATGGAGCAGGGGGAACACGTGCAGTCTGCTTCCAGCACACCCAAAAGCTATGACCATGGATGATTGGTCTGGAAGGGAACTACCTTGTGCTTCTTTTCTAAACAAAAAATCAGACCGAGGATAACAAATCTTCTTTGATGCTCATGAGCAACTCGCCCACCTTTTCCACTTTTTTCCCTCCCACC